CCAGTGGTGACTTCTTTAGACGGTGTTGTCGTTGCCACCTTTACTGTTGTTCCTGCTGATGTTGTTGTTTCTGCAGGTTTGGTTGTGGTTCCCTCAGTTTCTGTTACAATAATTTCAGTAGTCGTGGTAACCACAGAGGGTTTGGATGTTACAACTGTAGTTTCAGGCCTTTCTGTTGTAACGCCTGGCGACGTTGTTGTAGTCTCAACAACAGCTGTGGTAGAGGTTGTAACTGGGCCAGTGGTGACTTCTTTAGACGGTGTTCTCGTTGCCACCTTTACTGTTGTTCCTGCTGATGTGGTTGTTCCTGCAGGTTTGGTTGTGGTTCCCTCAGTTTCTGTTACAATAATTTCAGTAGTCGTGGTAAACACAGAGGGTTGTGATGTTACAACTGTAGTTTCAGGACTTTCTGTTGTAACACCTGGCGAAGTTGTTGTAGTCTCAACCACAGCTGTGGTAGAGGTTGTAACTGGGCCAGTGGTGACTTCTTTAGACGGTGTTGTCGTTGCCACCTTTACTGTTGTTCCTGCTGATGTTGTTGTTTCTGCAGGTTTGGTTGTGGTTCCCTCAGTTTCTGTTACAGGAATTTCAGTAGTCGTGGTACCAACAGACGGTCTTGATGTTACAACTGTAGTTTCAGGACTTTCTGTCTTAACACCTGGCGTCGTAGGTTGAACAACAGCTGTGATCAAAATTGTGACAGGAAAAACTGTGGTTCCTAGTGATCCAGTAGTGTAAACAGTTCTGGTCCCTGGAAGTGTCTGTGTTATTGGGCCAATAGAAGTTGTAGCTTCAGCTGTGGCTCCTGAAGTTATAGTTGTAGACTTTGTTGGCAATGTAGTACCTGTCTCCAATGTTGTTGCTTGTGATGTGGATACTTCTGCAGATGTGGTTCCCAATGTCGTGTTTGCTTGTAATGTAGTTGCAGCAACTGTGAGGAAATAAGACATTTTGTGAACATTGCAAAATGTGTATATTTTCAGAGAACTTTATCAAAATGTACCTTTTATTAAAGTATTTATTTAATTTTTGTATAAGTTTTTCTACCACATAATCAAAGTTTATAACATAAGTGTTCATATTGCACATATTTGTCTTACCTAAAGTGGTCTCTCCAACCATGCTGAATGCAAAAGACGTAGTTTGAGGGCTTGGTGTAGTGGTAGTTACGCACGGGTACGTTCTTCTTCTTACAGTCCCATTTGTCCCACACTCAGCTGTGATGCAGTTTCCTATCCCATCCGTGGTGTTGTAGATGGCTCTCCCATATTCATATGTTTTTCCATAAATGAGGCATGTACAAGCTGCAGTTTAAGAGTAAAATGCTTTTAATTTTTTTATATAGTGTGTGTATTTGTATTCACATGAAATAATGCATAAATATTGTGTCAGGCTTGGGACAGTGTATATGTTCACTTACAGTTCACATTGTAGCTGCACTTTATTCCAGAAACTGTACAGGAGCTAAAATTAGAAGATACATTTAGTTTGCATGCCATGAGCCACCACAAATGTCACTTAATGTAAGCCCAACCCAGGATGTTAATAACAAGTAGGAGTTAACATGTTTATTTTCGACAAGCATTAGTTTTGAAAATCTGAAAAACCTGGTCTGCATGGCCTGATTTTGGTTGCGTGCGTGCGTGCGTGCGTGTGTGTGTGTGTGTGTGTGTGTGTGTGTGTGTGTGCTAAACAAGTGTATCTGTTTCCTTTTCATACAGGGGCCCACAGCCAATAAGGTGCAGATCCTTGTACATTAAGAAGACTATGTGTCGGCCTTATATATACACAATTGGACCCGCCAATCTGCCTTTTCAGTTCAACAAGACAGCGCTTTCTACATTTTTTAAAGTATCTTCCTGATCAGAGGAGCTTTAGCAATATCGACTTATCACAGAACTTTATCTGAATTAATGATCATTTTGATTTGAAGTCCTCTCATAGTCTCCTGTGCTGCAGTACCACTTTTTGCCTGAACCATCGCTAATGGGTGCTGTTTTACTAAAACACAATTATCACTATGTGTTATTGAAATAATTGAGGGAATGTAGATATGCAGAAAAGTGCTTTAAATACAGATTTCTTCTTCCTTACGAATGGTTTAAACTTCAACTTTCAAGCTTTCACATCTAGGTCATACACATTTATCGGGCTTTGACTTGATTGAGATCAAATTTCAAATTGTATGTACAATAAATTATCTGAAAGAGACATACCAAGTGTTACAGTTGGTTGATGGAACCTTATCTCCAATGCTGTAGTGGGTGCCTTTGTCATCATAGCAGCCACATTGACGCCAGGTGACACACTTCATGGTGTCTTCATCAAAGTAGGGCTGGGCTGGGGGACACTGTGGATAGCAGCCTGCAACACCATTATAACATTGATTAACATATGGAGAAATAGAAGTATTGCTTAATGGCACTATATGAATGCAGCAGCATTCATATAGTGCTTAAACTCAAAACTCTTTACTAACACTGCCAAGTGCAATTTGTTGAAAGGCTTGGTCTCAAATAATGACCGTGCACAGGGGCCTCGTATATTGACATCACGTATGCTCGATGTAGAATATAGACTCAAAAGGTGGCCACAGCTGATTACAAACTGGAACACGCAGCAAGAAATACACTGAAATATTTGTTGTGAATGAAGTACCAACTGTTTATGTACAAATATGTCTGACCTTCTGAGGAAGCAGCGCTCACAGCGTCCGCTATATGCTCTTTGTAATGTCCACACTGCGACCACCAAATAACATGATTTATAAGTCTCCACCTTCCAAACAAGAATCTCGATATTGCACAGTGGTAAAATTCAGCAGAAAAGTGCCCAATATTTCCAGTTAATTGTGAAAAAAACAAACAGGGAAGCTGCAGGTAGACGTGCATAAGCAGTTTTGGGGGTTTTAACCGTACGCAACTTTCTCCAGTGAATCCTACTCACAGTTTTACAAAATCTCTTTTATTTCTTAGAATAAAGGTCTACGTATCAGTCAGTTGACCTGAGTTGTACTCAAAGCATGACCTTAATACCTTCCTCTAGTCAAGATGATGGCATGTTAAAATATCTGTGGAAAGTACCTTCGAGCGCAGTGATGAGCGTGGAACAGTTTCCTGAAGGATTCCTACATGTCTTCATGCAGTCAGCTCCACAAGGCTTGTAATGCCACTCACATTCACCAGGGGAGTTATAATAGTCGCAGAAAACAGCTGCAAGAAACAAAATATGTACTTCATTGCTCTTGTTACAACATTCAAGGTATTACTTTATATGAAAAGCTTGTTTATTTTTGTAAGACACTTTCTACAAATCCTTGAATGCTGTATCTCAGATTTTCCTGGTGTAATGGTGGCAAGACTTACGGCACAGCTTTGGAGTTCTCCATTTAACACAGGCCCCAGCTTCATTACAAGCTTTGGCATAAGCAGCCACAGCAGTGCAGAGACACTCACAGTCCCCACCAGAGTCACAAGCACAAGAGTCTCTCACGCAAGAATCAAAGTATGGACCAGGGTCAACCTTGAACACATAATAGTGAACTGTTTAGCTAAATAGTTTAGGAAAATGATAAAAGTAGGTCATAACAAAAAAATGGCGTTCCATGCTTGTAGTAGTGGCAACTATGGCGTCGGGAACAAAATAAGTCATCGTAATCAGTCCTAGTTTGGGAGACATTTACAAATATAAAATGTTCCAAATACCACAGCATCTGATTTGTATGAATCTGATAACGTTTTTACCTTTGAATGGCAGCTCTGGAAGGTGACACTGATAATGATGCTGCACTGTTTCTGGGACCAGGCTGCTCGATAGCGGTTTGAGGCACAGGGATCATCGACGAGTTTGGCATTTGGGCAGTCGGATGAAACCTTCCAACTGTTTGCAAATTGTAGAACATCTGCAACTTTCTCCATGGAGCGTGTGGTGAAGTCATTCTTGCTGTTACCGTCGTAGTTTCCACACATACCACATACTTGACCCTAAAGGGGGAAGCACAATGACAGTATATCAGGGGTCGGCAACCCCTGGCACGCGTGCCAGCATTGGCACGCGGCACCGTAACCAGTGGCACACTAGGAATAAGTGGAATAAGTGTGCAAAAATATTTAAATTGTATTTTCGGATCCTGAACGAGACCGCCGCCAGAGCGCGTCTCCCCGTTACCTGCAGAAGGAAGCCATGCACGCAACGCAGCCCCGCTCTCTTTATCTCCAGGTGACTTTCTGCCGCTTTCCTCCGTGGTGCAGTGCTGATCGTTTCACCACGGAGGAAAGCACTTCACTAATTGCAGTACCCATAAGGAGCTGTACAAATGCCGCAGTTTTTGCGTGGCTGTGTATTTAGTTGAAAGCCCAGTGGCGATCTGCTCATCTCTCATCGAAATAATATGCTACAAAGGGGCGGACTGGCCATCTGTGTGTTGAACTTTCCTGTCGGCTCCCAGACCGTAGTCGAGGAGGGCAGAAGCAACAAGCTTCAGGTTCAACAACCCACTTTAGCTTAAATGACTGGAGAGAGGCGAGCTCTTCTTGGGAGGCCGTTGCATTTATTTAGCTGTTCTTCTGTTTCACAAAATACATCACAGACCTCTGTTTTTCTGCTTTCCCATTTCACTTCCAGAAACATACACACGTTCCCTCACTGTCGCTCTACCATTCACAAACACATATGCACAAGCCACACCCCTCTCTCTCTCTCTTAAAGGGACAGCGATCTCATCTCACTCTGCAGAACGGACGATCGTCCTTATTATTATGCCGTTTAAACCAATTATTTAAATGTATTTGTTAAATTCGGCATCATGTAAGTTGAGCTGACAGGTCCACACACTGCTTCCAGCGAGGCTCCCCCGCCCTCCTGCTGATAGTTGACGAGCGTCAAGCTCCTCAAAACCCCCCCCCTCCGTTGACAATTCTCCATCGTTGGCACGCTGATAACATTTTTTTTTAAATGGCACCTCATATCAAAAAGGTTGCCGACCCCTGATCTATAGTAACGCAGTGTAGGCGGAGCCGTGACGTCATCTTCAATGAGCTCCCCAGAAAAACAACACAGCTGTTAGCTCTTAGCACTCAGAGCTCACAGCTCCTCATANAGAAACTAGACAAAAGTTAAACAAGTACAAACCACATACTGTCTGTGTCATGGCGAATACAGTCGCTGGTTTATTTATGTCTGTATAGGCAGGGGTGCACATAAGTGGTACGCAGGTACGCATGCGCGGCAACAATCAGAAATGCGTACCGTCACTTGTGTCACAAAGCGCATTTGCGTACCGATGTATATGTGAA